TCTAAGCAAACTGCAACGATTCGCGTGCCACAAAAATGGGGGCACCAGGACTAGTAATTTGCCTTTTGTAAAATGGGATTGCACCTTTGAAGCACCTTAAAGCAGAGCTCTTTATTAATATTTACTAGCGACCATGATATCAATCGCAACAAAACACGTTCCTTAAAGCAAAGACAGTTCGCAAGAGACGAACCTGAAGACCCCCGGGAAGAGCACTACGTGCCTTCACCTTGGCTCGACGCCAGACCATGCCCTCCTTGGTATATTTGATGTGACCCAGCCACTGTCGATCCTCTAGTTGGTCGTACTGACGATGCTTCCATTCGCCTGTCATAGCATCGTAGGAGTAGAGGGGCAGGAAAGCCCAGCCATAGTCAGCAACAAAACAAACCGCCTCAAGGACAAAATTCGCCTCTTCGTCTGACATGAAGTAGGGAATTGAAAAGCGCGTAAAGCCTGGCCTGAATGCAGGGGAACATGACTTTAGTAAAGGTTGTAGAAATAACATATCACTGAAGTACAAATCGCTAAAGTCCTACCCTAAAAATTAGGCAGGTGATGGAATACGTACACGGTAGTTTATTTGCGATTGGAACAAATTATATTATAAGGCTTGAAAGCGCGATTATAAATAATGAAAGCAATCATTTCGGAATTAAACAATCAGGGAGTACCTACAACGTTCATGGAGCTTCAGCACAAAAAAGCATACAGCATGGCATGTACAGGACAATAAAAATGCATTAAGGGACAGAAGTACAGCGACTTGGCAAAAAGTTCAAAAAAGTACAGAGCAGGCATTTTAAGAAAGAAAAAAGTCAAGGTTCAATTTTTGGCTCTTCTAAACCTCGATAAAAAAGCTGTAGAATTTGTTAAGTTGGCCTATATTGTTATCGCAAGGCCAAAAATTTCCTTAAGTCGGCACAAGTAACTCACCTTAGCACTTCACGAGAGACGTTATCAAAGGTCTTTTGAACACGACAAACAGGTACTTCACTAAAAAAGAGGAAGATACCAGCGAAAATTGCAAGCGCTCGAAATGGATTATTCAATTAAAGGTAAGTGGTAAAGACCAGAAGAAAACGATTATGGCTAATAGTAAGTTAGTGCGCCGTGGTCATGGAAGGGCGAATGCTGTTTGAGGTGTCAGCGGGACATTCTCAAGTGACCTTGTGACAAGAGCATCTTCATAGAGTTTTGCGAGAGTTTCGTCGATCCCCAGAAGATCCATCGCGTAGGGACCTGCGCAAACACAGCCAGCACGACACTGGACGCCGAAAAGGTCATTAAGGAGGGCTGCCACGAAGGTGTGATGCAGAAACATGGGTCGTTCGCAAGGCGTCAGCTCCTGCTGCCCTCCGGACGTAGAGATGTCGGGGAAGACATGTCGCACCACTACGGAGAAGATGGGCAGACGAGGGGCCTCATCTCCGCCCAACACCAGGAGGTTTGGACTGGACTTGAAACGCATCCAGGCTCGTCTGAATGGCAACATCCAGTCAGATTTACGTTTATTTTAGACGCATTTCAAACTTCCGTCACCAATCCCAATTGTCAGCACGTTTAATGGTTAAAAGGGGAAGTTTTAATCCGTTAAAATGAACAAGAATACACCCTAGTGGGGCAAAACGCCTAACGATCCCATAGAAAAAACAAACGAAAACCACTGAGAGAGATAGGTAATACCTCTAGAAGCCTCTATCTAATTGTGAAATGATTTTATACCTATTAACACCTCCGTATCGACAATGCCAAGAAAAATTCATTGCATACGTATAGTGACAATAATTCCAAGGGTGGCTTTATAGCACTAGAACTGGCGCCTTTTCAAACAGGAGGTAAAACATGACCGGAAATACAAACTTGACAATAGCGGCCTCTCGAGAGACTATGACTTCAGAGGTAACCGCCTCCTTTAGTTGCATCACCAGACCTGCGCGGATTGACTCAACAATAGCGGGAGTTCCGCCTTCTTCACGCTCCTCCACATCCTAGAAGGAACGCCCATGCTTACATGAAAAGTGAGAGAAAAAGAAGCTTCTGAGCTAACCTCATGCGCTAGCCCAATAATATGCTGAGATAACCAATTGAAGTGAAAATGCGGCAAAAGGAATTTCTGAAAAATGCCTAAAAATTAGCTCTACCTTAAGATAGACTTGGTGATTTCGACGAACAAAGCAGACACTACCACCCCCACAGCCATCAGGATGTTTTTCGCCCGCCTTGAACAAAACTTTCTTTGCTATAAGCACGCCCGGTGTTTGGACGCCACCAACAAACTTATGCATCGAGAAGTAAACAGCATCCTTGTACACAAGGCCGTGATTTGGTCTAGAAGAATAGTTAACTGATTGAAGCGCAATATCAATTCCTTTATGAATACAAACAAACGCCTTACCCAGAAACAACGGGGTTCATGTCGATTTTTACGTAAGGCGCGGCAGTAGCATAGTCCCAAAAGACAAGACCGCCATGCCGGTGAACCACAGCAGAAAACTTGTCAACATCAACCAATATACCTGTTACATTTGAAGCTGCCGCCAAGCATACTATCAAGGAGCAACCTAGTTCATTTGCCCTCATTCTTTCCGTCTATGATAATAAGATAGCGTTACAACGACTCCCCAGCCTCCTTTATAATTCCAAATGCTCACCGAAAGGACCTCCTCCAGGTGGTGAACAGACACATTCCCACACTTGTCTGTGTTGAGGCGAATTACTTTGGCGGCCAAGTGCCTCCAAGGAAGCATGTTAGAATGATGTTCAAAGGGTCCTGTTATAACGATTGGTGGTTTCTCCAGGTGAAGGTTATGTATAAGTTTATGTACAGCACCAGTACAGCCACTTCCAACAAAGAAAACTGCATCATAATCGCTAGCCCGGACAGCATTTCTAACTATGTCTTTGGCTTCATGGCGATACATAGTTGTCTGCAGAGATGTCACGCTAGTCATAGTG